TTCGTTCGTTCGTTCGTTCGTTCGTTGTTCTTGTCGAATGCATCGACGTGCGCATTCTTCGCGGTTGTTGGCGTAGAAACACGACAAAGTACGTGTATATCATACGTCGTGCTCCCTATTATCGACAATTAGCGGCAAAAGTTGAATTTTTTACAAACACAAGTGGAAGACTAACAACTTTGGACAACGTAACGAAAGGACGTACAGGGTGGAAAGAAACGTTTGTCCGTGGCAATCATAGATGAATTCTACGATCTTCGATTTGATGGAAATACATGTAATTTTTTTTTTTTTTTGGATTGCATTCTACTCGTCACGAAGGTGAAACTTTTCCAAGGAACGTGACAGTTGTTTTGAGAAAATTTCTTAATCATTCGACACTGCGACGCGTGCGTTCTAACAGCGACTTTATGGTTCTGGACGCGTGGATGCCTACATTTCGAATAATATTAACAGCAATATTGCATCATTTGATCATTCAGACTCACACTGATGCTGCAACTATGATAAATCAAACGTCAGTGAAATCCGAGTTAAGAAATGTTACGAAGCACCATAAAGTCGCTGTTAGCACGCGTCCGCGGTATTAAGAAACTTTTTTGCCATTTTTCAAAAGAACTGACGAGTATAATACAGCGGAAAGAAAAAAAGAAAAGAATGATTCAATTTAGCGGCAGGTTGTTTACGCGTATTTCCATCGAATCGAAAGTGGACAAACTTTTCTTTCCACCCTGTACAATATACACGGTTCGAAACCGAGTAAGAACGATTTATTCGAGATTGATTATTACAGAAAGATGAGTCGGAAGGTTACGCGAATCGACGCGAGTTTCCTCGCGACCGGTGCAACAGATAATAGCGTTACAAATAAATCCAAGAGAGAGAGAGAGAGAGCCAGCCGTTGTTGTCGGATCTTTTCAGTGCGAGACTGTACGCGGATCACTGCACCCGCGACGAGTCGACCCGCTGAAAATATGGGTGGTCGATAGACGCAGAGAGTCGAGTCGGTCGGCCGACTACCTGGACGCGGCGTTTGCGGCCGACC